TAATACTGTTAGATATAAATACATTGTTTCCTTTTGCTGGAAATTGTTTTGTCCTTAAAAACAGTGTTATATGATCACTAGTAAAGATAGCGTAAAACATACTAAAGGTTTATGAAAACAGTTTTGAGGTAAACATAAATCATAGCAGACAAAGGTTTAGCAACTATTTAGAACTTTTATTCTTCTGTTTTAGGGAATCTGGAAACATCAAAGCTGGATTAGAACATCTGGTAAGTTCTAATTTTCTCTTGAACATTTGCATCATCTTTGATATCTGCATTCTAAATGAACACTTTTGAATGAGCTTTGAATACCTTGTATTGAGAAAGTCAACCATTTCCCAAAGGGTCAGCTTACTGTTATTATGTGAAGGCACTTACATTTTCATTTATCTTATCATTTCAAGGGAATTTAAATTTTTTAAAAATTACTTTTATTTTGATGTAGAGATGAAATAAAATGGATGACAATCCTTGGATTGATGATCGCTTTAATTATAAACAAAAATGTTTGGTGTAGAATTTTTGGCATATCTTGATCTGACAAAAACAAGCTTGTGTTTTAAGAAAAGCACAATCAAATATTGCATGCATAAATATGGTATGTTTTAGCAATTTAACGGCTTTGAAAGAAGTGCACAGCTTTGTTTTTCCTAATGTCTTTGCTCTATGAATAATGCATTGGTTTCAACTACATTCAGCTTAGAATATAAAATAATTGAGATGCAGAATTTTTGGTTTAAGTAAACATTTTTAAAGCATAACTGAGATGAAATTCAAACCGACTTAACATTAAAATCTGCCCATTGATCAAAAAATTGGAAAAACTGTTGTATGATAACAAGCCCCAAATTCACTGAGCTTACCACATTGAGTGTTCATTACAACATTAAGTAGTTCATTTAAACAGAGCATTATAAAGTCATGCTCTGGTTTCTGGTCAAATCCAAATGTTGAATAATTAATGAGAGAGATTCTTTTGTAAATACAATCTAAGTACTTTTTTAATGCAAGACCTCATTCGTATATCATATTGTAGCTTTGTTAACTATTAATGTGCTTTTGTTCTCCCACAGAAGCAAACGGTAGCAGGAGGCAGCTTCATGCTGATTTATGTATAGTAGTTTTAGAGTTGGAAGGGGTTTTTGGTTTTCCTTTCAATAGTTAAAGGAAACTGAGGAAACCTAGACTTTAATAAAATGACCCTAAAAGTTACAGATAATTGTTAAAAAGCAGGACATAATAACCTAGGTAGACAATTTGAACTATGTATTTGTCCAGATTAGTACATAAATAACATTGTTATTCTNATGGGGATGTGAAATACAGTTTGGGCAATATAATAATGTTGTAAAGATTATGTTGGGTGTCCGATGGGTACTGGAGTTATTAGGGGGATCACTTCATAGACTGTGTAGATGCCTGACCAATACACTATATACACCTGAAGCTTTAGTTGAACAATATTGAATGTCAACTATAAATATAAATATATATATATATGATGTAAAGAACAGCATAAGGAATATAGTCAATGGTATAGTAATAGATATATACATTGTCAGAGGGGTAGTTGTTTGGGGGGTTATCACTTTGTGAGTGGTGTGATGTCTAATTATTGCATTGCTTTGTACACCTGACACTAATAAAAAAATCTAAATGCTAACTAAGGATGTGGGGTAGCCAAGACCCTGTGTTGTGTCCATTTGTGTACCTTTGGTAGTGAGGGAAAGGGCATGTGTCAAGGATGAGGCCTCGTTTTCTTCCAGGCATGCCGTTCTCATTCATGCTCCCTAACTATCGTTTAATCAGAAGAATCACTTGGAAACATAGCAAAGCAATAACCTAGCCAACCGTTTCTTTTCTTTTTCTTTCTTAAAGAACAGTTTCTTATCCCTGATTCCAAAATGCAAGTAGCTCAGGAAGCTGAGAGATTTTCCCTAAGGTTGTGGCAAACTCAGTTGACAGCAAAACCTACCCTGAAATAAAGCTATTTCTAGCCCTTTTGATTTCCACTTTGTGGGGACATTCATGTTTCTTTCAGAATTATTCATGTGTATGATGATGACATACGTCAAGCCTTGCTGTCAGTGTGTGTGTGTGTGTACACATATATACATACATACACATACATGCA